ATTAATAATAAACCAGTTTAGTTATAAATTTAATTGAATGAAAAAATACATTATATATAAAAATATAATTAATAAAAATTACCTGTACGCTGACATGCACAACCCTGTTACTAAGAGTATCAGGATCTGCAGAACGTTCTAACATCATAGAAATTCTACTATAGTGCAGAACGAATGCGCGGGTTAAAGCTTCTTTATAATCAGGTTCTGGTAACATATTTAATAATAAGCATACTAATTTTTGTGGAAATTCATAAGCAACAGTCCAAAACATTAATTCTTCCAAAAAAGTTGTATGTTCTAAATGTTCTTGTAAAGAGGCACATTCTGCAAATTTGAAATTGATATTTGATTACATCAAATTTTATAAATGATAACTAAGAAAATACATAAGTTATTTATTTCTATAACATACCTTTATATTCATCAGGTGGTTCTGGATTTGGCAAAGATTTAACAGCGTCTTGATATATTTTGTTGCTATCTTGACAATAACTATCATACTCTGACTGACCAGTAAAGATTGAAGGATCCATAAGACCTCTATATTTTTGTGGATTAGTAAGTGCTGTTGTCATAACATGCCTCATTAATGCACCCATGTTGTTTAAATCAAGAAGCATAGTTAAATAAACATCTGCATCTTGTATAGCAGCTCTATAATCTGTATATTCTCGTATACTGGGAACTCCCACTTTACTAAAAACAAAAATTCAATTTATAATATTGTAATTATTTATATCTAAACAAATATTTCACATAAAATTAACTTACCAATTTTCTCTTAAATGTTGAATAAGACGTAAAATAATTCTGGGCATCATTGCTTCTGCAACACACATTAAATCTGAAGGTGCAGCAGATTTATTAACAGCAGCTTTTGGTCCATGCTTATCACAGAAACTGTAAATAAGAGTTTTAAAGTATTACTTTATTTATATTTACAAAATGTTCTATTTTTAAATAGCTTTATTTAAGATCAATTGAATTTATAAATGTTTGATTTTAATGATAACATACCCAGTCTCTTTCATAACAGATGCATCACCACAATCGCATGCACCACCAGCTTGACTAAGAAACATGTTAAAATCATGACGATGATGATTTCCTTTTTTGAAGCATTCAGTACAGAGAGACATACAGGGTGATATCCCACAAGTACGGCAACGATATGCAACAAAATTTGGAGTCCACACCAGTCCACATGTTGTAGCATTGTCATAAGTTCTTACTGAAATACAATAATATTTTTGAATTGCAATGTCTCATAGTAAAATATATATATATAGGGTGTTTTAGAATAAGTAAGAAATATTTTAAGAAAACTTGCAAAAGCTTTAAACTTTTTTATCAATAAATATCATATTACATTTGTTTTGTCAACTTTAACCTGTAGAGTTATTTTTAAAATATAAAATAAAGTTTCCAGTAAATTGAAGTAACATATATACGGCGGGAATAGAATAGTCATTGATAAGATGTCTGCAAAACTTGTATTCAAATGCAAAGAAGTAATTTTGAGCATTTCTTATCAAAGTAAAAGAGAAATATGTTTAAAATAAAATTCGTTATAATTTGAAAAAAAAAAATTTAAATAAGACATATTTTTGACCTGTTTTATTGTTTATATGTGTTAGAAGTTATCGTTGAAATATTTATAATTTATTCTAAAACATTTTGCATATATTAAGAAATTATTTAATTCATAAATTATTTAATAAATTTTCATATATTACAAAAATTTCAATTTTTTAATAATAATAATAATAATAATAATATATTTCCATTGAAAAATTCTTTACTTTAAAAAAGTTATTTAAAAATAGATTAAAAATGATATTATATTTATGTAATCGTAGAACAGAGTTAGAAACAAATAAAGAATTAAAATCCTAAATAGATAAGTAATAGTTCAAATTAGATATTGTAGATATAATAAAATCCATATATACATAACTGTAATTGTAATATTGTTAGTAAATACTATATATACAAGTATCGTATATATGTAAGTTAAATATATATATTGACAGAAAGTTTATATGGATGCCAAATACGCAAATGTTAGTAAATTTATAACAAATGAATAAAATCAAGTAGCATGAAGTATAAAAAACTATCTTCTAGAAGTTATCAAATTACATTAATCTTATGTGAATAATATACGAAAATGAATAATATATATTAGTCTTGTTCACAATATATTAAATGTACATTATGTATTTTTATATGACATATATGCACTACATGACATTATATAAAATTACTTTAATATTCTTTTATTTTTTTATTACTTTAATAAATTTAATTCAATTAACATTATAGCATTGAACATATGCTTATAATGATATATTGAAAATATAAGGATTAGTATTATAAAATAGGCGTCTCTCTGACCTGTATTTGCATATTCATCTGGTGTACGGCCACCTGCCATTAGCCATTTACACCAGTCGATAGTTTCCCAGTCATCAATAGGTTTACTAGGATTCAATAGAATATCCAAGAGTTCATTTAGATGTGGTGGACCTGCTGCATCGATGGTTGGATTGCTACACTCTGCATGAATGTATGCAGCAGCACCACGTTTCCCTTTATTCATCAACACCTGTGCCGAAGCACTGGAGGTTGATGCCATTTCGTAATGAATATTTCTTGACAAAGCAAGAAAGAATAACTAAATCAGTTGTTTTGGCATTCAAAGATCACTAAAGTATACAATGTGCCAGTTGAACGATTGAGAGATGACTACGTTTCTTATAATTCTATGGTACCAATAGTACCGTCAATCCTCGTGGGGAAGTTTAAGCTTCCCGATGACCTTTTGATGCGAAAACTTCCGGGAAACCTTCCAAGGAGAGGCGAACCACGGATCAGTAAATTCTCGGCAACCTCCATATCAACAAGAATCTCCCGTCAATTCTGTCTCCTTTGCCAATTCTGACAGCATGACGAAAATATCAGGTAACTCTTTAACGTGCACTATTGTCACGAATTCTTTACCGTTTTCAATTCGCAAATCTATCGTATCAAGTAACGTATGATGTTTTAATATCAGTTATAGACGAAAATTTAGACAAATCCGCAATTGCGGAAGGAAAGAAGCTGAGAGAAGCACTCAATCACCGATCGCTCATCCAGTTAACCGTAGTTTGTTCGTCATAGAATCGTTTAGTAATCTTCAGTAGTTCGATCGTGAATTTCTCTACTTTACCGACAGATATATTTTGTTGTCATGTACTCAGAATTAATAACGATAAGTGATTGGATTTAAAGAATTGCCGGATGCAGTTCTTCAACATTTTCATGTATACACTGACAAAATACTATATTGTGATTGGTTGATATCAGATACCAATTGTAAATATTCGTTACAGTTTAATTATATATTTTAGATTATTTTTTAAAAATTATTAATATTTGTTATAATAAATATTTTATATCTTCTTTTTTGATCACTCCTCTTGTTCTCAAAATGAAACTAAAAGGATTATATGTAAGTTGAGAATATAAATAATCATTTTTTTAATTAACATTTTACAAACAATTTGTTGACAATTATAATACATAATTATAAAAAATAATGTACAATTAATATGATTGTTTATAATTGTATTTTAATAATGGTTTTATTAATTGGAAATAAAAAAATAAAATGAAATTACTAGATTTTTAGGCAGGGGAAAGTACATGGTTAGAATGGCTACCCTGAAAATTTGAGAAGTTCTCTTTTCTAACGATCTACGAAACGTGTATGTTGCTGTGCAAAATAATTTACAAATCGCAGGTAATCTCGCATTTTTTATTACATCCATTAAAAATATTGGTTTAATTTATCGTTGTAAATAATTTTTTTAATTTATTTCAATTATTTTATGTTTTTATATAATGTTTATGGGATGTTACTTTTTAAAGTGTCCACTGTTAATACGAGGATACTTCTATCTTTTTAAGTATTCTTTTATATATTTAAAATATATCATAACTTAAGCATATATATAAAAATTTAGTGTAAATATATATATATATATATATATATTTTATATTTAATATTGTGTTCTTTTGTTTTTGTATTTTATAGTTTACCTTAGTAGATAAATTGTATTGACGAGTTATAGGTTAGGACCCACTGTGATGGGAAACTAAGTTATAGTTTTTCAAAACAAACAAGAATTTAATAAACATTTTTAATTCCCATTAAATTTATAAGAATAAATAATACTTTTATGTCATATAGATTTTGAGTTTTATAATATTATTAATTTTGAATATTTGTATGTTTACAGCCATGGTGCGAATGAACGTTTTGAGTGATGCTCTTAAATCAATTAACAATGCAGAAAAACGTGGTAAAAGGCAAGTTTTACTGCGTCCTTGCTCCAAAGTAATTATCAAATTTTTAGGGGTTATGATGAAGCATGGTGAGTAAAATATATTGTATCAAATTATTGTGATTTACTTCTAATATGATTAGCTACCCATAAATAATAAATGATATGTTATGTATTATTTATCTTTATCAATGTTTTGTATTTTCTTTTGTGGAATTCATTTATGAAGATATTTATGTTTATTTTTATATTTTTTTTTTATAGGATACATAGGAGAATTCGAAATTGTTGATGATCATCGAAGTGGAAAGGTCGTTGTAAATCTTACTGGAAGATTAAATAAATGTGGAGTTATCTCCCCAAGATTTGATGTACCAATTAACGATATTGAAAAGTGGACCAATAATCTTTTACCATCTAGACAATTTGGGTAAATTTATGAAACTTACTTTTTTATTTATAAATGATACGTCAAAAACTTAGCACAGTTTGTTATTTATAATATATCTAAAATATATTTTTTAGATATGTCGTATTAACAACCAGTGGTGGTATTATGGATCACGAAGAAGCAAGGAGAAAACATCTGGGAGGCAAAATTCTTGGATTTTTCTTCTAATTTTTGTTTATTTAAGTAAATAAAATTTCTTAAAACACTAATGTTGGTTATTATATGATCTTTTTAATAACATTTTATTTAATTTCCTGGTCATATTATATCAGTAATTATTTGTCCCTTTTATAAAGAATTTTATAAAGAATACGATAAAGACCTTATATATATATAATTATAAGTATATTTGTGATATATGTAACTATTCAAATCCCTATAAGTTATACAATATAATTTTATAATGTAATTTTAATGTAATATAGTTAAGCAGATTATTTAGTAATGCCGATGACACCACATGCGAGACGAGCTCCTGCATTTCCAGTAGTTTTTGACAATTCATGTCCACCTTTACCAAGGTCATCAGGATCACCGTGAACCACAAGGGTTCTGCCAATAATATTATGTTCGCCTTGAAGTTGTATAATTTTGTCGGTTATGTTGACCTTGGCAACACCGTTGGCATCAGCTTCAACATTTCCTAAATCTCCAACATGACGTACAGCATCATTCGGACCACCATGATCTTTTCCATGAGGATTGAAATGAGGACCAGCGCTCGTGCAGCCGTTAGTATTGTCTCCAAATTCGTGGACGTGAAATCCGTGCAATCCTTTTTGAAGTCCAGAAACTTCTCCGGTTACTTTTACCGGTTGCGATTCATTAGCTTGTTCAAAAAATAAGGTTCCCTTAACGGATTCGCCTTGGAGTACACAAACTGCTTTAACCGGCATCTTTGTAATTGTTTTATTAAGTTAATAAAACAGGAACTATTACGTTAAACGTATTTTTTATGAATGCAAAGGTATCTCTTCTTATAATGCTGAATCACGACTATCGAGTTATTACGAACTTTGCTGACGACGGAATGTTACGCGATGTAATGATAAAACGGTTGTGTTCGTGTGTCGGTTTCAACGCATTACGTATTACTCGCCTATGCGCTGTAACTATGCGCAAATGTACAATCGTACTATATATATATATATATATATATATATCGTGCAAATTTTCTCAGTATCGTATACACATGAAAAAATTATCTGTCGAATGTTTACACGACATTTCTTTTTGTAATAAAAAGATATTGTATTACGTGCTCTTTAAAGCAATTTTGATAAGCTTCTTATAAAAAATATTTTAAAATCCGTAGTTTATAAGCAAGCTAAGAAATATCACGATAACAAATATTTCACATTTTGATTTATAATAACTTGCTTTTAAATCTCCTTACTACGGTACTGATATTTTTTGTAAGAAACAGGTCCCTTCTCGAAGGGTAATCAGAACATCACCGTTGAATATATTACGCTGCTCATCTTCTACAGTTCTTATGTTATCTTCTAGTAACAAGAACATGAATAGACATTTCTAGAATATGTAATATAAAATATTATATAGAATATTATATATTTTTGACGAAGATACATTTTTATTTCTGAACGTATTTTATTTTTTATTTTTCATTACAATTGTATAATTTATTTATTCTTATCTATGGTATGTGCTTATTATTTTAACTGTTTAATATTCGATTAGCAAAGTCAATTATTGACCTCACTTGCAAATAAATTACGCAACGTTATGAAGATTTGTATCGTTATATACGCATGAATATCAATAGATTATTATATCACATTTTCGTCCTATCATGTACAGAATTAAACGATTATTTTTACGTATATATTTAATAATATGTTAGGAAAATAATTTATATGTAAAAAATCATATTAAATATTGTAATTGATTATACTATTTTAAATATAATTCAAAAATTGATTGTAATCGATATTTGATCAAGTTTTCATCAGATTTAACGGTCACAAATTGTTCCGAGCGTTAATTGGTCAAAAAAAAAATGAACATCATTTTGCGATTGAACATTCATTGGTGAGTTAAAAAGTTTTGAACAATAATTTTTGGTTAAATTCACTTTTATAAAAAACAACAAAAAACTATAATTCTTTTTTATCAAGGCTTGAATTTTTTATTCCATCTTTTTGTATTGTGAATGCAGCCTAAAAATCAGTTTTCATAGTAGTGTTGACGCAGATCACCAGATGGCTCTACGAGTACGATGGCTGAACGTTTCGGTGCATATTACCATTGCGCACCGGCAAGCGATTGGTGGAACTTCGTCGTCGGTACATAAGCGTGTATATCGTTGACACAGAATAGATATAGCGGTGCTGCGCGTGATCGTGATTTCAACTTTACACTTCTGCGCGTGAACAGAGCCGTCGCCGGACAGTCAACAAAACTTTATAATTCGAATATACCTCGTGAACCATTCCGATCTACGCGTCGACTAGCATTTTTATGAAACGTCAAAATTTTTCTTTGGTTTTTTTATTGTTTTTTATACTCTTCCAGAGTTACTAGTGATCATCAAAATAGTTAATAAATGTGACCAGAGTATAAAACGACGTTGCCAGGTGTTACCAGGTGAATGTGACCATTAGGGCTGTACTACCTGGCACCCTCGCGAACAAATATTTGCTAGGAAGGAAGTGTATTATAAAATAACTAAAAAAGAGAGAGAGAGAGAGACAGATATTTTAACAATTTAATTGTGACAAGTTCATCATAAAAAATTATCATTTTATTTTAATAGAAAATTGTGCAAGTAGTGTTTGTTAAAAAACGTTAACGATCCCAAAGGAATATATCGATCGAAAAGATTTTTAACAAAATATGATAAATATTTAATATATTAGTATAAATAGTGAACAAACCTGTTATAAAAGTTAAACGATTTTTTTCGTGTCTACAAAGAAGCAATTCAAATTGAACAGCTTTCATTTTTGAGGATTCACGTGTTCGCATTTTCGAGGACGAAGATGGAAGAAGAACACAAGACAGCGGCACTCCTGACAACCCGATAGAATCGAAGATCAACGAGAGGAAACCATAAAAATGCAGTCGACGCTCTCGTTCGATCGAAACAGTTAACAATTTCTCCGATGCTACTAAGAGTTTCACGGACAAGAGGGTGAGAGTGAGAATAAAGTGAGACGCTTCCTTTATCGAGGTGTATATATATATATATGTATATATTGTGTTGATGCGTATCTTACTACGAGCGAAAGGAATGTTATCCGTTAACAGGTGTACATAATATACCTCTATTTCTTTCTCTTTCTCTCCTACTCTCTCTCTTTCTCTCTTTCTCTCCAACGTGCGTGTCCTCGAGTGTTTCTAAGAAAAAAAAATAAAAGACTATTTTCAAAGTGTCTCGAATAGGTGACATTATGAATTTAAAAATGCGAGAAAATACAATAGATAAAAAGTGCGCGTACGTGGGCGTGAATTTAATGATTGTCTTCGTCATCGCGTAAATTTCAACGAATTTTCTACGACAAACAAAAAATTCTCCAAGGCTTTGTCAATAATATCAAAAAAGTGGCAAGGTTGAAAAGAAGTTAAGGTGCGACGTACGGTGCTAGTGGAGGACACACCGTCATCGCCAATAATTTTTGGGGATCATTCGAAAATATGAGAATGAAGGTATTCTGTAGGAATAGATTTTCGGCATATCCGTCGGATATATCCGACGCCTGGATACGAAAATTTCTCTTTACCGCTGTATGCATCGCATGGATCATCAGCAGCGCCTGCGCCACTGGTGAGTTTTCGCGCCTTTTGATACTTTTGTCATTTTTCAAATTTTCCCTCACCATCTTTCCCCCTTTTCTCACTCTTTAAACAAGTTCAAATTACGATTTAATAACAAATGAAAATATTCATATTTTTTTTTGTTATTGTTTGAATAATTACAGAAAAATACTAAAATAAATAAATAATAAAAATAACTAAATACTAATATATAAATAATAAAAAATATTAATACTAAAATCATTTTTCGGAGGTGTTATTTAACTGAGTTACTGATACAATATTGGATGCCTTTTAAATGGCATAATTAATATCATTATCAAAATAAACATACTTTCGAATTTGTTTTATTTGAAACGTTCTCTATTCTTACGTTAATTATTGTTAGATATCCGGTAATCGGTAAACCAGTCGATGGTAATTAGTATCGTTGTTGCGTGCCAACGTTGTACACCATGCTACTGCTGCGTCATGTGAATGGCATGAAAGTAGGATATATAAATATCTATATGTATATATATGTATTTATATACTTTCATACTTTAAAAAGTTTGAAAATGTTCTTGTATAGCAGCTGACAAAGACGAGTCCTGTCCGAATGAGGATATATGTACTCTTCAACGTAACTTTATATGCACATAATACATATAGGTATATATACTCATATGCATATGTTTATATGGTACATATATATACATACATATATATATATGTATATTTTCCTCTTTAACTAGAGTCATGTCGAATTCATGTTAATATAAACGTTAGATGAGAAAAGAAGAAAAACTAGTCGACTGTAAATCGTCTTTTTCCGGGCACCACGCCAACTTTCAGGTAAACGTTTTTTGTAGTTTCGGGGAAAGGGAAAAAAAGGTAGAAAAATACTTCGAATTTTTGTGGCGTTAAGCTGAAACCTTTGGTCCTTTATTATATTATGAAACTAATTTGATGTTTCAATATCGATTGCATAAATTTGACCCGTTTAACACTTGAAACGAGAGGGCTGGTTTAATTTACATAACAATATGGCGTTTTCGTTCTTTTACAATGTTGAAATTTGTCGATTAGGAGATAAACAAAATCTGGGGAAAATCTGCTTTTATTATTTAACATTGAGAGAGTGTCGTCGCGTGGGTGCCACCTTAATTAAGATTTATTACCGACGTTAATCCGGCCAATTGTACGAACGAAGTTAAACCGTTGACCTCTTGTCTCCATTACAAAGGATACTGGAGCACGTGCCGATGGAAATTTAGCCTCGTGCCAAAAGAAATTTAACGATTGTCGAGATGATGCATTTTTAATGGTTGGAAAAAAATCATAACAATTCTTTGGTATTAATTATCGATCTATTTCACATATTTATAACCTAATTTCGATGAATCTTTCTCTCTTAATTATGCTAAGGGTCTGTTATCTTCCTCTTCTTCATTTTCTTATGCATATCTTTCATATTTTGTAATCCATGGAGAATATATTAAAAGGGGACCATGGAATTTTTTAAATATGGTGATTAGATTTGAAAATTAGTGCATATAATGTATATATATATATATTACAATATTGTATTTATTTACATAAATGTTATTATATGTAATATAATATAATATAAAATTATATATATATATATAAAATTTTATATAAAAATTTTATTATTTTAATTTTAAATTAAGTTATTTTAATTTAAATTTATTTATTTATTTTTTAAATTTATTATTTAAAATTTTTAATTATTTTATTATTATAATTTTATTTATATTTAAAATTTTATTATATTACTATAATAATTTTATTTAATATAAAATTTTTATTTTATATTATATTATATTATATTTTTTATAACTATACTATAATATAATTATATTATATTATATACTAATGCAACATATTTAGTTGAGTTATTATAAAATAAAATAACAAATTAGATAATATAAAATATATAATAAAATAAGAAATTATATAATATAAAATATATAATATAATAAATAATTATATATTTTACATATATATATATATATATAAATTTAATTATAAATAATATATATATAATAAAGGAAACATAAAAAAGGTTTAATTCTCCCGTGTCGGATAGTTTCGAGGTTTTATCATTTTATCAGTAACATTTTATCAATCCTACCCAACGTTTTTTATCTCTCCCAACATTTATCATACTTCATACATTGAGCATGCAATAAACGAACACACATTTTCAAAAAAAAAAAAAAACTAGATCAATTGCTTGAGTGTAAAGAACTCTATGCAACGAGCAGATGTTTCAATAAAATAAAGGTTTTGTTGTTTCTGATATGG